CGGTGAGTCTCCCCGCGCCGTTGGCCCTTAAAAAGAAAAAAAAGTAGAGGTTTAACATTTTAGACAAAACCCCGAGACTGGCGGGAAAAGAAGGACAACACAACAGAGTCTCAAACACAGCTGAAATTTTATTGGACGGAATATCGTGGTTTTATAAGGTACAAGTGCGGGGTACTTGTTTCCTCTCGCAGCGCGCTTCTTGGCAGCCGTCCCGCCGGTACCGTTGTCTGCCGCGTCACAACCGCCGTCGTCGTCTCACAGTTTGTGGTTATTGTCTCTCGGAGTTTTGTTCACACTACGGACGCCACGTGCGCAGACTTATGCCGCAGTTGTGCAGAGGTCGCATGTCGTAGACACCAAAACATGGGAAGAGTGCGGTGAAGGCGCCTGGCACACGTCCGCCCTAGAGCCACTCTATGTGGCAGCGTAGCTGCCAGAGTAGCGCCACGCTTTTCCCTGTGCCGCCTCTCGCTGGGATTCGTCACACGCGGTACCATAACAACGAGCCGAGCTGGCACCGTGCCCATAGCAACCGAGTGACTACTCGACACGTGACCACGCAAGAGCCGTGATGTCACTGGTAAGATGGCAGCGCCCAGAGCTGGTAGATGCGAGTTTGTTCTGTGTGCGGAGTCGCGATGTGCAGCTGCTCGCCGACAATCTCGAACTTCTTCGTGCTCTCTGATGCAGATATAACGTGAAGATCTGAAAGATTGCGACTCTATACATTTTCTGTGCAAGATCGCTCTGGATATTACCACCTGTGTGACAGAATCAGTCATATCGCCGTAGTGGTGCTCGGATTCCCGATATGTTCGAGGATCGATAAGGCTTTTAGCGTGCAATTTTCGCATACTCTTGGCTTTGTTTTAACGTTAGAGTGTCTGAGAACCGATGCGAAATGTATGAGTCGCAAGTTGGGCCTTGGGGAAGTTGTTTCAGCCCCAGGTAACCGCATAATCACAGAAACGTTTAGCGTGGAAGCTTCTGCGATCTTTACGTTTTGTACTAATCAACGATTGTACAATATAGCTTTTAGGATAGAAGATTCGCATTTTTATAGCTTCCTTTGAAAGTTTGAATTTCTGAGAATCGAAACGAAAGGTATACTTCGCGTGTAGGGCTTAGGTGAGATTGTTTCAGCCCTGGGTCACCGAATAACCACAGCAACGTTTAGCGAGGAAGCGCCTGCGATCTTTCACCTTTTGTTGTAATTGACGATTTTACGAATTGGCAGTTCTGAAGATTTTGATATAACGTGGTTTCGTTGCAATGGATCGCATTTGATCCCAGTGTTGTTTGGTTTATTTTTTTTCAAGTGACAAGCTGGCGTTTGCTCAAACGACGTATATGAAATTAACTGTTATATAACAATGCATCAACACATACTATTAAACATAGATGCTCAGAGATGTGTTCGTCTTTGTAATTAACGAGTTACAGACAATTTTTTTACGTGTAATGTTTATTTTCGTTAGCTGGGCTCGTTTTGTGCTCATTAATGTCAGTGTGTTCTGATGTTATCATCATGTGTGTATGGTTCTAAATGTCCTCTTTGCAATGCCTACAAAGGCCAAAATGGCGTCAGCCGACCCCCGCTCACGCATTGGACACGAAAACTGCGTCACTCGGACGTATGCGCTCGTCAACGATCAATTCGTCGACGAATATTGGGATTCGCGTTCGTGGCCAATGAGTGCACTTACGGAACTTATCATCACTGGCAAATGCCAAGTTCTACGGTGTGCTTAAAAAACACGGTGGAAGCTTGGGGTCATCGCACCGGTGCCCTATGTCCCGGCCACGTGATTTCACAGTTCGCTTTTGAGTTGAGGATTACAGCTAAGAAAAAAGAAGTTAAAATATCATTTCATGGTTCCATTAACACGGATATGTGTGCTACACCATATAAAAATATTGACATTTTGCATGCCGGTAAACTTCCGGACGACCACTTGGCCTGTCGGCAAGAACACCTCATATCCGGCGTCCGTTTCTTTTGATGGCGTTAACAATCCTCTGGAGACCACCGTGCTGTCCTTCTTAGTTTAACCTTGTCGACTGTTCATCGCCCAAACGAGGGTGAGACCGTCGTCGACGTCGCTCCTCGCCAGTCGGTGAGATAATTTCATCTTGAATGAATGATTGGGTCTTGAAGAAATATGATGCTAAGCGTACATTTGCTTACTATGGGGCGGTCGAGCAACAGTCATGTCCCGAGGCAATCGTCCTGTCGTGGTCGGTGTTTTCGGATTTTGTTTCACAGGAGCAAAGTCCAAAAGTACAAGGACGGTACGTACGTCCCACCAAGCGGCTGACATCCCGGCGGCGCGGAAAACCACTCGAGTTTTCCGTGCACCTACGATACCTAGCAGCTTTCGTCGCCCGACAGACCCCGGGCTGCAAATCGTCTCACTAATCAAAAGAAACAAACACCGTTCCTTCGGAGGCCCTTGCCGTACCGCCGTGCCAAGCGTCTTTTACCACTTTTCAATGGACGAATGGAGATATCAACTAGCGAAAAATTGCCGTCCGGCGTCGCTGGCAGCACGGTTACCATGGCAACCTCCCAGGCCCAAAATGGAGATCACTATTGGCGTTTCTGACGTCGTGCATCTAGAAAATTTTGCTTCGTGTCGCATCTGGCAGCTACGCTGCCATATAGAGTAACTCTAGTCCGCCACAATCCCGCCCATCGATCCGTAGGGGATCACGTGACATCTCGTATTACGTGATAGCCATATTGTTGGCGGCCCGAGGACAATGTTGCCGGACGGAGCCGAAGTTTCGGTTTCGATTTCTGCTCGTGTTTAAAGTAAGATTTATCAATATATATCTCATTTTTCGCGAAGCAAATGACGTAGTGCCTTTTATTAGTACTTTTTAATGTGATATCACTCATTATCTTGAAATATTCGGAATTCAGCGGAGTTGCCCCTGTAAGACCGTGTGCATCAAAACCTGCTAAAGGAATACTTCAACGAAATTCGAAATATACCTGTCGTGTTCAGAAATAGGCTGAATATGATCCACAAAATCCGTGAATGACGGTCGCACGTTTGTATTTTGAACCTGGTAACTGTAATTTTGGTTATAAGCGGCCCACTCTGGCAAGCGCTCGGAGAGTAGCCAGCGGAGAGCACGTGAAATCCGGCGCATTCGTGACGTAGATTGTCTCGGGACGAGCAAAGCTCTGGCGACGCTGACGTGAACAGGATGTCCTAACCGTTCCAGCCGCCGAAACGGCCGAAGCACGCCAGCGATCGGGCCACCGCAACTAACCCCAATGCTGCTTTTGTGCGAATTTTTAGTGACAGGTTAACCCTCTGTAATTTTGTAGAGGGAGAATATCGATGTCTAGACATCAAAAAAGGGAAGGAGTTCCTCCTTCCCCTTTTCTCTCGTGGTGGCCGAAGGCGAGACAGGCATCGTCACTACCTGTCAAGGTTCCTAGACGGGTATTCCAAACGAAGCTTTCGCGACATCCACCAGGTGCTCTTTGCTAATCGTTTAATTCTTTTTAAAAATCCCTTTCGTGTCTTTTTTAACAAGAGAGTGCTGTGCCTGATGTGATGCCGCTCCCTTGAACAGGAATGGACCAAAAAATAAGCGCCGAAATTTCGTTGTAGTATCGCTACTCTGCTGCATCTATCGGTTAGCCGTAGAGCACTTCCAGCTTCCGTATATTTCATATTTTTTCGCGCATCATTCTTTCTTTTTTGGGCTTTACAAAATTTCGTCAATATTATACCCGACAATTTCTCGTACATATAGTACGTATAGACATTTCATCTCGTGCAACGCCGCAATATCTTTGCTCTAGTGAAATGCATGCAGTTCCAAAGTTGACTCACAGATGGCACCAGCGTGCCGGTCTGCTGTTTAGGCTCTCTGGTGTCCTCTAGGACTGGTTTTCGTGAGAGATGCAACACGTAAAGTCCGGCTCAGACAATTACGGCTGCTTAGGACCGGAGAGGCCTAAAAACTGCTTCCGACTGGCTGTGCGCGGTTGCGCGGATCTCGGCGACCTCGACTGCCATAAAGCAGCCATATCGTCGTAAGAGATCGCAAAAGGTTTTGACGCACGCGGTTGTAGGCGTAAAGGCCCGTTCACACTCTTGCGACCGAGTACGACTGAGAGAGACGAGATCTCTTAAAACTTCTTAAATGTTTTTAGAATCAGGGAACACACTGGCATTGTGGCGCCATCTATGCTGTGACCCTGCAACTGCATTTCACAAGAGCGAAGGTTTTGCGTGATTTCCGAGGTCAAATGTGCGTAATACCCATAGAAAGACTCGTTTATAACATTGACAAAAGTTTTTCGGGCCAAGAAAGAAAGGATAATGCGCGAGAAATAAAAAAAAGATATGCCGGACCGCCGAGTTTACACTGCTTCCCAATAGATGGCGCCAGTGTGTTCTCTGGTTTAAGAAGTTTTAAGGAGCCCAGGTTTAAGAGGTCGCAAGAGTGTGAACGGGCCTTTAGTGTGTGAACCAGACGGCCGACACGCAGGGGTCAAGGCCATGTAAGCAGTATAGCGCTACAAACGAGTCCGCGTTTGCCCCCACTGGCGCATGCGCAGAAATCAGGATCGCTGAGTCGGAAGCTCTGCGCATGTGTTGCATACCGTCAGCAGCACCAACCGCAGCGGGGAGCGATGAAAACGGGCGCCGCGCGGCAGTAGCATAGCAACCGGTGCTGGCGTCCCTACGTCACTTCCGGGAGGCGCCGCGTCGCTTGCATCTGGTGGATACAGATAACGCCGCGCGGTGCGCCTGTGGTGCGCCTAGCGGCGAACGGCGCGCGACGCCCAGTTTCACCGCTCACATCTTCCATGCTTTAGGGTGTCACGTGACGTCACAGTCATGTGATGTCACACGCAGCATGTGCCCAGCTGATTGGACATAATGAAGACATGGCAATTTATTATTTTACAGAGAGTTGGAGAAGATCGGCTTGCGTTCCTCCAGTGCGCAACGAACCACATGATCCGCCATATGCTGCACGACTACCAGGCTCTTGGAATCGTCACTTTCAGCGGCCGGTGCCAAGTCGCCCATCCACTCGTGGTACTGAACACAACCGACGCTCGCGATGGAATCGCCAAAGTCATTGACGGCTTAGTGTTGGGAGCGGGCACCTCGATTGGTTGCGGACTTTCCAAAGCTACCGAGGTAAGTGCGACAACCTTTTTGCATCCTGAAGGGCGTATATCAGCTTGCCCTGTGACACAACGAGCTGATTCACCCGCTGTCTGAAGGGGTGTCCAAACAGGACACTATACAAAACGCACGACTCCGACAAATCGTAAAAATTGAAGCGGACGCGCCCGCTTCAATTTCCCCGATTTGTCGGAGTCGTGCGTTTTGTAGCGTCCTATGAAAAGCGAACGCCCTTCAGAAAGTGTGTTCTGGTCATTTTGCTTTACCACACTTTTCCCACGCCTGTTTCACACCCTTCAAAATACGAGTTATGTTTTATGCAATAGCAGCCATTTTGCGATGGACGTATCATACGAAATGAGGATGTTGAAAAATGTAGCCATGAGTGTAAGTCTCTGTAGCAGGACTTTTACAGCGTGAAGGGTGAAACATTGCTCGTCTGTAAGCTAACCGTTCTTCCGCGCGAGAAGGACGCAGCGGCGTGGTCGCTTTTTGCCCGCCAAATTTAGCAGACTGCCTTCTTGCTAAATTTAACGGACGGTGCTCATGTGACTTCATCAGCGCGATGTGACGTAGCGGTGTCTCTTAGCCCTGACACGACGCCAAGTCAGGTGACGCGACACTGCTAAATTAGTCCAGCTTGCGTCCTTGTGAATACGGGTAAAGCACACCTCACAATTCCAGTACCCGCTTTATCCGTAATTGTAATTTTTTTCTTTCTGGTCCTTGGACAGATGCTCGAAGGCAACGGCACTTCGGCAAGGGGAGGGCTGGTCTTTCTGGTCACCGACGGCGACGAGAATTACAAACCGTGGATCGTCGAACAACTGCCGATCCTTGTCTCCAGTGGAGTCAAGGTCAGCACGTTTGCCCTCGGAACTCTTGCCGAAAAGAAGCTGGAGGACGTGGCCCTCCAGACCGGAGGAACTGCTTACGCATTCGGGAACCTCAAGGCCCACCCTATCGCCGGCTTGACCGTCTCTTTTCTGCTCTCGACGACCGCAGCGATGCCGAAAGAGGAGCAATACGTCGTTGTAAGTTTCTTCGGCTATAGGCCCGTTCACACTCTTGCAACCGAGTACGACCGAGAGAGACCAGACCGGTTTTTAAGCCTCTTGCGACCTCTTAGGACCGGATGCGCTACAGCGGAGCTGGTGCTAAGCAGTCGCAAAAGGCTCAAAAACCGGTCTGGTCTCTCTCGGTCTTAGTCGGTCGCAAGAGTGTGAACGGCGCTTAAGACTCTAGAGGCGACATGGCCCGCGTTGACCTCAGCAAAACAAGCGTCGAAGAACGTCGAACGGCCCACGCCGCGGGCCGTTCGACGTTCCTCGACGTTTGTATTGCTGAGGAGCTACAGAGTTTTGGGGAACCGTTTTTGCATGTCCGATACGGTGCGATAAGCCTTCCGGTACGAACTGCGCATGCGCAAGTCTTCTGCGGCAGCGCATGCGCAGTTTGTGTCGGAGAGCTTATCGTACCATATCGAAAGTGAAAAAAAAAAACAAAAAAAACAGTACCCTAAAACTTCCTGATAGGAACTTTTAGTAAACCGCACGCTAGAGCTCCTGCTATCACTTCGAAGCATGGACTGAGCACGCGCCCTCTGGACCCACTTTCCGTAGCCTACTAGAATTCTAATCTCCTTAAACCTTCACGGTCTTCGCGAACAAAGAGCTAATTAGGTACGTATAAGAGGCAGGGAACAGTTGAGACACGTCCGTTCACTTGCTTCGGTAATGCGTGATAAGCGAGCTCTCTTCATAATGGTCCCTAAAACAAGTCCGGATTCCTTCTGATCGTCGTGAAGTGACTGTCATCGACACTGAAGATTGGATATGCTGTGTTATTTGAGATCTTTTTTTAAATAGACCCGGTTCGGAAAACGCGGCACCGTGGGATACGTACAAGATGTTGTTCGATTGATGAGACTGGTTGCATTTCATGTTGTGAGCGGAGTTCACAACATAAAATTGTTCGGATACTGAAGTGCAAATAGTTCAATGATACTGAATTGCTTTTCGTAGAAGCTTGTTTTTTTATGGAATACTGTAAGTTGTGCTTTAGTAAAAAAAGACCGGTTGTAGATGGCAAGACATTATAGTACGTTCACAGCAATAGAAACACACGGGCACTATTTCCTCTTGTAAAATTTCACGAATGAAAATAGTTAATTGCGTGGAGATTCTGAATCTTACTATGATTGGTCTTTTAGGCGCGTTGTGCATTTATTTTAACCAAAACTTCAAATATCTGGGTGTAGGAGACGTAATACAGCAATTATTTTTTGAAAACGCCGTCCGGCGACGCGCGTTTTGGTCTCTGCTCCAAAGCGCAGAAAGAGGGGCATGTCACGATCTTTGATTAAATTTTTGATCGGGAAATCGGCCGCCCATGGTGTAATTTCGGTTTGCTAGGATCTTTAGAGCCCATGTATTGAGTTATACTCATAAATAAACGATCTTGAAATTCGCTTGAGTGCACCTTTAAGTAGATTGGCAAAGCTGGGTGTTTGGTGGTGTAAAAGAACACGTAAAATGAAGCAAACAATCCAGTTGCATTCGTTCTGTGGCGTACAGGATCATTAGGAATAGCTTTAACTCGTTTATCTTTGTTCCCAGAGATGGTAAAATGCTTTCTCAAAGGCACCGTCAAATTCCGTTCGCAACAAAACGCGCCAAAAACAACAAAAAACCATCAATTTAGGCGACACCAGTGTTAGGGATTGAGGCTACGCAGGCTGCCCACAGCCCACTGACGAGAAAACCCATGGCCCAGCGCACTCGGGCAACACTGACATACCCCTTTTAAAGCGATGGACGACCTCTCTAAATCGCCTGGTTCTAGACTGCCGCTTCTATAGACGTTTAGAAGTACAACTTGTGGGCGCCACTATCTTGCTGCTGGTGTGGGTATATCGTTGAATAGTTAAGTATTGCTGAGGCCGTAAGCACGCCACAGCAATGTCTGACCCAACAGCAAAGCCTTGACTATAAGACAACCTACTTAGTGCCACTAAATAAGTTACGCTTCAGAGTAAAGACACTTACCCATCTTGTGGCTTAAAATCATGGTTGCCAGTTATCTGAAGCTTTATTTGAAATCACAAGAAACGCTTTTTCGTCTTCCACAAATGTTTGAACAGTTCGCGACCGAGCAAAGCAATACCACACGAGCTTCCTAGCACCGAATCTAATGCTGCGGAAGTCTCACTTTTGAACCATGACGATCGGCAGTGGCGTCTGCTTCCTACTAAGCACCAAGATGGCGGCGCCCACAATAATATCGGGAAACAGAGTGCCGATACTCTAAGCGCAGCTCATTTTGTGGCTCTAAACATCTACCCAGAGCCGTGGATCTACCCACATTAGAAGCAAAGCAAGATGGCAGCGCCAAGAGGCCGCACTTGCAAACGTTGATAGACCAACACGCTGTTTACAAATAAGTTCGCGTTTTCCCACACCAGGTGTGGGCACTGCGCATGCGCAGAAGCCAGATTCGTGTGAAGTCAAGCGTGTGCGCATGTGTCGTGCCGACACCAGCGCCACCGCAGCACCGAGACGTCGGAGATGAGAACAGACGGGATGTCAGAGTATATTAGCGGCGAGATGTTTTGGTGGCACCATCGAACGGTTACCATTCATGACGTCATTATCTTGCGAACAACGTTCAAGTTCGATTGTGTTTGAAATGAGCATGGTGGAAGCTCGAAATCTTAGCGCTCTGCAACCAACACCGTCAACATGGAAGTTCTTGCGTTCCTCTTATTTCCGCCTGTGAGAATTCCTTTGCTGACGTCATGGTCAGCATTCGGCCAATCGTGCAAGGCCGACCACTGCGACGCTCTCGATCACGTACGTCGCCAATAGCACCGAGCTCTGGTTGGAATGATTAGTGGGCACTGGGCAGACAGAGTCAAAGCTATAGGGAGTATTTACTGGCGGCCATAGCTGTGTGCGCCAATGCTGAGCACGTGCTGACGGCGAGCTTCCATGGTTCTTTTGCAACGTGCATTCCGCACCATCAAGAGTGTCGATCTTAGCAGCCTATTGATGTGAGCTCGTTCTGAGCATGCGCTCTAAACCGTACCCACGAATATGGCGTCTACTTCCTACAGCTGCCTTCGTCTCCACCCACTGTTCAAACGTCGGCGTTCGGCGTTCGAACAGCGAATAGAAACAAAGGCAGCTAGCTTCGCGCTGGGCCCTCTGGAGTCTCCGTGCTTTCTGATCTCTTCCCGTTCCTCGGTTTTTACCAGTTTCGGCGCTAACGGCGTTACTGGTAACGCGTTCCTTTTTTATGTAACGTAGTAACGTGCTTGTTACTTTCCAGACCAGTGACGAATAAGCAACTTACGTTGCTTATTTGGGATAATGGGTAGTGATATAGAGGGAAGACGATGACAAGAAGAGGGACACAGGAGAGGTGCTAACTTACAACATGCTTTTTAACAATGCTGTAGTTAAGAAAGACACACAAAAAAAAAGATGTGGAACTAATTAGAGTTAAGAAGAGGAAGAATAGACGGAAAATCAAAGTATGGCTACACTGATTTTTTTGGGGGGGAGCTTGCTATTAGGAATTATATATATATATATATATATAGTTACATATTATAAGTAATCTAAAAGCTAAGAAATAAATTATAACTAAAAGAAGTTATTGACCAAGAATAACAATACGTTAGTATAGTTTCAAGAAGAACCGTAGAGATATTGGAATTATTTTTACGACAAGGTCACCGACGAGGTGCTGATGCAGGCGTCACGGTCACGTTTGGATAGAATGACTGGCCTAGAAAAGGTCTCCACTTGCATAATCACTGTTACAATGACCATGGTGTGATTTAAACAAGGGCGTGCACTGGCAGTCCCTTCCATGCACCGCAAGATGTCCCGCCGGTAACAACTTGACCGCAAGGGCATGTTTTCTGATCTGTCATTGACAGATCGCCCTGTTTGTCCCACGTACACTTTTCGACAAGAAATCGGTATTTCGTATACCACCCCACCGTAGTAGTCGACATACTTGTCTTAATGTTTTACACCACAATCCGAAACCTTGTCCTTCAGGGGCTTTAAATCTGGACACTTGGCGAAAATGTCGGCGAGGAATATACCTTTCCCAGCATCTGTTTTGCGCATTGTGACTTTCAGATGTACGGCACGTGAAATGATCCAAAGAGGGGAAACGAAACTGACGCTGATTAAACAGTTCGTGACTTCAGAATACAGAGAAAGCACAAGGAAAGCAACACGTAGTATGTGATGACCCTCTTTTCCGTTCGCTTTAGTTTTTTGTGTCGTCTGTTCCCTAATGATAAGAAAGAACGAATCGTGACGCTACCAGGACGTACAAAGCGTTCGAGCCGTCACGAGCGTACATACGAACAGCCTGACAATTCCCGTCGTTGCAAGGTACGTCTCCTGGAGTTTTCCGGAAAAGGTCTATTCGACTGCCGTGAGTGGCCGGTGACAAGGTCAAACGCGGCCCCGGCTAGTCACGGCCGCCGGATTCCTCGTCGACTCTTTTACAGCGGAGCTGTCAAGGACTAGTTTCCCCAGGATCGTGTTCCCCGCAAAGAAAGGAAGACACCAAACTCTGGACACCTACCGCCATCTATGAGCGACGGCGGCAAGCCTCGTATCTGGTTGCCGCCGTCGCTCATAGATGGCGGCAGCCTTTCCACTCTGGCTTGCCGACTTGCGGCCGGCCATTACTTTCCATTGTACAGCTCCGCTGGACTTCCTTCTTCACCAGAGTGGAAAGACTGAAAGTTTTTACTGAACATGGGCACAGAGCAGGTTAGCACAGATGACTCGAAACACGAAAGAATGAAACACATAGGGGCGGACGCACACAGACAAGACAGACAGGACAGGGCACAGACGCACACGCAAACAGGACACACAGACAGAACTGTCCGGTCTGTGTGTGTCCGTCCCTATGTGTTTCAGGCGTTTTTACTGCGAAGCTGTTAAAAGAGTCGACGAGGAAGTGGGGGAAAATGCGTCCGCGGATGTTGACAGAAAACTCCCCATTGGTCGTGGCAAGTGTGAATAAATAAAAATGTAAAGAGGGGGCAACCATTTTAGAAAAAAAACAACGAGAGAGGCAGTGACAGACGATGACAAGGAGGAGAAGAGAAGGAAGGAAGGAAGATAAGAAGCAGTCAGCCTTTCTTGGCATTATTAGATAGTGAGGTCTTGATCCCTTGTTATCATCTCTAGGCAACGTCTTCGAGGTTGTCCTAGGTGTCGCCCTCTAGGTGTCGCCCTCGAGGTCGTCCTAGACGTCCTCTAGCCATTGTCCTAGACGTCGTAAAAATAACAGCTTCGCTGGTCCTCCATCTTCACGCGAAGTGGAAGGGCTCTACAATTTTCTTTTTATTTCTCCTTCTCTGCCAGATGTGACGAGACATCTGCCACAATAAATAGGATAGAATTGGGGTATCCAGAGGCTGTGAGTCTTAGTACCTGAGCATCAATATAGAGGTCTCCTCGGCTCAATGGTCACAATATTTATTTATAGCCGCACTAGATGATATTTTGTTAATTTGATGCGTGTCGTTTTCCCCAGGTCGATTATAAGGCGAACCAGTTCTACTTATATACATACTAAAAAATACGAGATATTTGGTTGGTGGAAAGTGTCTTGGCTGTATGGCCTGGTCACAATGTCACATAAGACTGGGGTCACGCACGAACCTATACATATTCCTTTCTTCTTAGTGTAATTCAAACGTTACAACCGTGGCGGAAAGGTAATACCTCAAAAGCTTTATGAAGGGTCCTACCGCCATACCACACTGGTTTTGAATGGGAATAGATTCATTGGCCTCAACACACTCAGATATTGCTGCGAACAAGTTATTATGCGCGACAGACTGAAACACATCATCTCTATCAAGCGAGAACACCAAACGGACGACCGTCGTAGAGTTTTGTCGCAGGTAATAGATCACTGTTTCAGAACTTCGTACATATATAGGAAAGGGTCTTCTAGTCTTCTATTTGGAGGCTAGACAGTTGACGAAGTAGAAAACTTCGCGTCGCTTTTTGCCAAGATCCTCCCTCTGTGACGTCCATCCGGAAACGGTGCACCCTTCCTTATGGCTCTTGACGGTGGACTACCGAATCTTCTTTGTTTATGTTTTTATTTCTAATACCAAGCTCGTAAAAACAAATAACCTGAGTGTTGCCCTATAGTTCATTTTTCCTTTCTTTTTCTTTCCCTTTTTAACTTCAATTCATTCCACACTTGCTTTTGTCTTCCTTTACAGAATCATTAAAACGCCTCCTGTAAGTTAGCGCCTGTCCTGTGTCCCTGTTATGCTTGTCCTCGTCTATCCGCTATTCATGTTACAATGTTCAACCAACTAGCCCGCCATATGATTCTGTTACAAGGAGCGTCGTTACCTTAGTTATTACATCTACCCAAAACTTTAAAAAAATATTACACTTCGTTTGTTTTTTTCCATGTTTTTTTTTTTTTATAGTGAAATCATACAAATTCTTCTACTCTCGCCATGTACCTTCGAAATTTCGCCTCTAAACACGCCACGCGAACACTGCTGCTTTAGAAAAACCCCGACGCTCACGCCCATTGTCCAAGCTTTGAAGCACGCTGTCGTTTTATAAATAAAAAGTTGCGCAGAAGTGACGTGCGTTAGTTTTTTTCGGTAACGGCAACCCGTTACTTTTTATCGGTAACGGAACGCGTTCCTTCTGCAGGGTGTTCCACGTAACTTTAGCCAAGCTTTAAAAATGTTTTGGTGCATTTTAGAAACACGAAACTAAAATAATTAGTTTATTTGTTGTTGGGAGCAAGTCATGCTATTTTTTTTGTACTTTCCCAACGAATTATTTATTTAAAATTAATTAATGCACTTTTCAAATATTCAGTTTAGAGCACAAGTTCCAATGACAAAATTGTAGAGCGTCCTTAGAAATATCCAGTTTTGTGGCTTTTATCAACAAACCTCTAAAACTTCGTTTTTCTGGACTTCAGAAAAGGCTCGCGTATTACGATAAAAAACACGTGACTTTGCGCTTGAGAGTCTTGTATTGCAGCGCTCTCAGCCGCAGCTTGAATAAACTAGGCCTGCATGCTGAATAGAACACTGTTGGCAGGACGCTGTTAAAATATTTGAAATATTTGCGTTTCTATATATATATATATATAATTTGCAATTTTTTTAAGTCTCGGAAAACTACCCGTGTTAGAGGTTTCCTCTGTTGGGACCGAGCGTTTGACCCTGGTTGGTGGTGTGTCGACTCATGCCAGGCACGGGAGCGGGAGTGGGGCAGGAGACTGGGAGCCGATCAGCGGTAGCGAACTGTACAGTATGTACAGATTTAATTACATCCTATGTACAGGTTAGGCGGCTGATCGTCAGCAGCGTTCATCGAGGTTGCGAGTTCCAGCAAAAGCTAAAAGAACACCACGCTTTTGCGCGCGCTCTTGCACCAGACCGTTTTCTTTCTCGTTGTCCCCCAGGTAGCTCGAGGCTGTAGGCCTCCTGCGCTTAAGCTTTGAACAAACTGTAGCGCCCTCATTTTGGGTAGTACAAGCTCACCTGATTGAGCATAGCACTACTTATGACAAGTTTGTCGAGCTTTTTCAATTCTATGTGGTGCTAAAGAACGAAAAAACACCTTTGGACGCCAGAAATCGGCCAAACTCAACGTCGCAAGAGAATCAAAAGTGCCAAATTCATGACACCGCCACTAGGGCACGCGTCTCTTATCTCTGGGTGGAGACGTCGCAACACCTGTGTCGCGACGCTTAATCTTTTTTTTCTTTTTGATGTCTACTTTGGAACGCGTGAAATGGCGTCTCTTGGCTCACGCTCTCAGCGTCTTAGCTTTGACGGCGTTCGAATTTTCGTTGTCTTTGTATTTTCATCGTGATCTCGCGCTCCGCACCAGAGCAGGCACGCTTCTGCATGCGTGACAGTTTGAGACGCTACTATTTGTACTACCCAAAACAAGTCCTAACGAGTCCCATTCGCAGCACCCTCTGGGCAGCGCAGGAGGCCCGTAGGAGCGTCCTTTGTCCGGGACGTTCGAAACTACGCCAGATGAGTAGACTTCCCGGCGCTGCCAGTTCTGTCGGGGCAGCCGAGGCAGTTCCTTTCTTTCATGCCTCGGGAAAACGAGGGCGCCAGGTGTGACCGGTCCATCTCGCCGATCGCCGATACTTGGTGATGAAGCCGGACGCCCGCAGGGATACAACACCTCATAAAAGCCATTGAATTGGATGTTTCTGATGGACGCTCTACAACTTCGCCATTGAAACTTTAGCTCTAAATTGAATATTTCAAAAGTTCAGTAGTTGATCTTAATCAATTAGTTAATTGGTCAAAGTACGAAAAGTAACCTGACTTGGCTCCCAACAATAACAAAGTTATTCCATTGGTTTCGTCTTCCTAAGATGGACCAAAATACTTTTAAACCTTGGCTTAAGTTACGAGGAACACCCTGCATTTTAGAGTAACGTATTTCGGCATCGCGTTCCTTCTACATAGTTGCAAGTAACGTATTTCAATACATTTTTTACGGTAACGCCTACCACACTGGTTTCCACCCGCTGAACAGTCACCCTACGGTAAGTAAAGGTCCGATTAAACTCGACTCGCAACTGAACGCTGTGGCAGCGCCAAAATAGTAAGTCAACTCAGTTGTGGAACTTGCCATAGACGCTGATTATACACTTCATTTAGGCTTAAGTACGGACCATAGCATACACAAAAAACGCCTGGCAGACGGCCGCGAGAAGCGGCCGCCGAAACGGAAAAGGTGGAACGGCAGACAACGGATGAGAGGAGAGCCACGTGACTGGCGCCAAGCTGCGGAGAGACGCCGAAACACACTTCTCCCGAGCGAACAATTGTGTTTCGGGTCCTCGCCGCTGCAAGCGTTGTGCGCTGACGTCCAGGTTCCCCGAGAAATGGCTCTTTGATGCCCTGTGCTACCAGATCCTCGTGCTCGAACCCTGCGACAGGGCACTCTGCGGCGCCGTCGTCAAACTGCCAGGTTTTGTGAGTATAGAGGAGGCTATGTCCAGACGCAGCCGACCCTTATGGTGCCTGCGATGTTTACGTTGCTTTGGTTGAGTTTGCGCCATTCAGAAAGACCATCTCAAAACCCACTTTTGTTCCCCTTTAAAGTTCAACAAGTAGGAGAGTACAGGGGGCACAAAGCTAAGAAGGGGAATGTCACCTTGGCACTCCTTAGAATGTGTGGAAGGAAGGCGGTGCCGCGAATGACATCCTTTTGTCTCCTCGTCTCGACCGTCTTTAATGTGGTGGCGTTCGTTCCTTTCAACGACTCCAGCTGCTCGACGAGACAGAAGCGGTCAGCGGACGGAAAGAATTCCCCTTCACCATCCCGAAGGAGCTCGGCCACGAGACCAAGATTCTCGTGACCACCCCGAATGACGAAGACTACGACCTCAAAGTGGAGGACTCGAACGGCGAAGTCTGCGCTGCGTGTAACGTGACTCTGGGAAATCAGTCCACCAACATAGACATGCCACGAACGAGCACGGTAGGAAAAAAATATCTGTCGCAGATAGGCAGTACACATTCCGGTCTTAAACACCGACAAACATCCGTCCGTGAAAAAAAATAAAAAAAGATAAAAGCAAATCGATTAATACAGCGATAAGCGGTGATGAAAACTGAAAAAAGAGGCGATAACTGGAAATCTTTTTTACATATCGGCTAGGTTACGTAACGCATGTTAAGTTAAAAACGCGAAAAAAAACAGAAAAAAATGTAACGCTAGCTAAGTAACGTTTTAATTGCAAAAAAAAAAAAAAATCAGTACGGAAAGGAAAAGAAAAAAACAAAATAAATATTTTTCACCAACTAAAAATATGAATATGTAACTCTACTTTACATTTGCAGTAATTCTTTCTTCCGCATTGTTTTCATTGATTAGACGGATTTATCAATATGCGTTTAATTATGCATTTAGGTATGAAAAAGCACTATATTTTATAACTAGAGTTTTAAAACAAACTATCTTTTTAAATTGTCGCTGGATCTCGTTGAGTCTAGCCGTGAAGTGTGTGCGATAGTGGGCGCTAAGGGGCGGGAAATGTCCTCCTTATAAACCGGTACTTCAAACCGAAACTAAACCGGCAAAGAGCGCTTGTAATATTGCGTCTTGCGCCGGCTCCACGTGACCACGCCGCGAGTGACGTCAGCAGTGCGACGCAAGCGCAGGGCATATCGATCCTCGTACCTTTGCTCGTTTCACGACAACTTGGCGAACTGTGGAGGCTGGGGACCCGCGAACCAATAAGAGCGTCGGAGCGAGGCACGTGACCCGACCTCAAGGCAGCACTTGTGTCACCACGCCAAATGCGAGGCCCGGAAGAACCGACTGTCGTCTGCTAGCCAGGAGTCGTCTGCTCCGAAACCAACCAACTTCGAATGAACGTCCACCGAAGCAACGTATCCTTCCGCTAGAATCGCGAGCACATCGGGAACAGTTCATGAGGCAGCCGTACGCTCAACCTAGCCGCGAATCTGTGGCGCGTGCTCATGCCAGGCCAAGGCCACGGCGCTGCAAGGCAAAAAACAATCGAGCGGATACGAATGTGGCCTCACTTTTTTTGGCATAAATATTTCATTTCATTTCATTTCATTTTATTACCTCAAAGGCACTCGACTTGCGAGCGCATTAATGAGGGGGGAAATTCATAATATACAATTAGAACTTCAAAACAGCATTTTCGCGTATATGCTATTTACATCTTAGAATAATACGCATAAAAATGCACTGGGGAAAGCGTGCACACAAAAGAGCAGGAAAAAGAACACATACATGATATAACATTGCAATTTCATATATTGCGACATAATTGAATGGGTGTAAACAAAAATTAACGCAAAAAAGATCAAGATGAAAATGCACAAATATACAACAGCGTGCAAGGCAAATAAATATCAAGGTAGAGACCGCTTACTAACTGCTCATTCCAATGTACTGTTCACATTTTAACTTATATGCTGCTAGGTTAGTTTCCGATACAACTTCGTATGGCATATCGTTCCAATCTCTAATGCACATGACAACAGGCGATGAGGAAAATAATAGTGTGCGTGATTTCTGCGGCTGAATCTTGAGTTGGTGATCCGTTCTGGGTGATATATAGGAGGGCGGTTTGCAGTAGGTTTGCCTAAATGTTGATGCGCTATTGAAAATGGTATGAAACAGACATAGTCGTGACAGCCGTGGACGTTTCTCAAGAGAATGTGGACCGAGGTTGTTTTTTAGTGACGTGACGCTAGTGAATGATGAATAGTCAGAGGTAATAAATCGGGCTGTCTTATTCTGGACAGACTCCAGTCTATCAACAAGGTATGCCTGATGAGGACTCCAGACAGCGCTAGCGTATTCTAGTTTTGGAAGTATCAGCAAATTGTAGGCAAGCAATTTAGTGGACGGCGGTGCGAGAGATATATTTCTTTTCAAGAAGCCGAGGGTTTTATGAGCACTTGCTACTATGCAATCTACCTGATAAGACCAGTTTAACGTTTCTGAAAAGTGGACACCAAGGTACTTGTAAACGGACACCCTGTCAATGTTGCGTCCTTGAAGGAAATACTGGGTAGACGATCTACTTGGCGATGTGGAAATGTTCATGTGTTTACTTTTTGAGACACCAATATTCATGGGCCACTTGGTGCACCAAGTTCCGATCCTGTCAAGGTCATTTTGCAATATTAAATGATCGGATGTATCGGATATCTTTCTGTATACGACACAATCATCAGCGAAAAGCCTAATAGTGGACGTTAATGAAGAAGGAAGGCCATTTACATGTATTAAAAACAAAAGAGGCCCAAGAACGCTCCCCTGCGGTACACCAGACGATACTGAACATCGATAAGAAAGAGAAGCGTTTATTTTTACGGACTGAGTTCTATTAGAAAGGAAGGAAGCGATCCAGTTAAGAATGCACGGTTCGATGCGGAGTCGTGATAGCTTTAGGAGGAGGCGACTATGCAGGACAGTATCAAAAGCTTTGGCAAAGTCGATGAAGATGATATCGGTCTGGTGATTGTCATGAGTGTTGACATGAAGGTCAGTAATGAACTCGAATAGCTGGGTGACACATGAGTGATGTTTCCTAAAGCCATGTTGGTTTGGAAACAAAAAGTTGAATTGATCGAGGTGAGCGAGAAGGTGCGTGTATATGACGTGTTCCATGAGTTTACAAGGCACACTAGTGAGAGATATTGGTCTATAGTTGGTAGGATTTGATGATGGACCAGCTTTGAGGATAGGTGTCATTTGAGCATGACTCCAATCGGCAGGAACAATGATAGAGTCGAAGCTTTGCTGAAAAGAATAGTGAAAGAACGGGAGATATCAAGTCCCTTGTTACTTTTAAGAGTTTTGAAGAAATTTGATCTTCTCCGGGACAGATACCGACTCGAAGGTTTTCAATGAGTTGGGAAATACCTTGAGGTGTAAAAATTAAAGGGGGCATAGGCTCAATGCTGTCTGAACGCAAAACGAAAGAAGGCAACGGAAAGCGTTCATCTGTAAAAACACTGGAAAAAAAGTTATTGAACGCGTTGGCTGCGTCGCCGTCCGACAGTGGCACACCATTCTCATCAGTTATATTTGGGTGGGCGTCCCTTTCCTTCGGATTAACGACACGCCGAAACTTTTGGGGGTCGGATCGCAAAGTATCTGGTAGTTTCTGGCCATAAAATTTCATCTTGGCGTTTTTTTACTTCACGCTTGCACGTATTTGAAACAGTGTGGTAATTTGTCCAATGTAGGGATGTATTAAACCTCGCAGCATTCTGAAAGAGCCGTTTCTTTTTATTCAGGAGTGTCTTTATAGGTCGGGTGAACCATGGAGAGGCCGGATTCGATGCTATTGAAAAAGTAGGAATGTGACGTGACAACACTTCTTGAAGTTGACTTCTGATCAAGCTCCAGTTTTCATCGACAGAGCGTGATGCGTGGTTGCGCGTGTAGTCTATAACGAATTGAGCCATAGTTGTGTTTATGTCTACGGTGTTTGCCGTAGACATTCCGTTGAATAGTCGTGAATATTTTTCCGAGCCTTGGTGGAGCGTTGAACAGGGAAGGCTGTATTGACAGAAATAATCTTGTGGTCACTAATCTGGTCAATAATGTTGACGCCCAGCACGCACTGAGGATGTGTAGTTAGAAATAGGTCTAAGATGGCGTTATTTCTTGTGGGTTCAGAAATCATCTGGTGAAGACCGTTGATACGTCACCACTCAATGCAGGCGAGTGGTGACGTGGTTCGTGATAGGAGGGGGCGTGTGGCGTCCGTTGAAGGAGTCTGCAAATTTGGGGTGATTAGCACAGAATTTGGGCCGCGAATACCCATAGTTGAAACTCATAAATCTCCATATAGTTGAAACTCATAAATTTGTGACTATTCATTCTTTATTTTTCATATCTTCTCGTTATAAAGGGAATCGCGCGAGTTGAATTGCCGTTGAAAGAAAAAAAACACCTAGAATTACTTTTTGTCGCGGAGGGCTTTGTTGCTGTGGCAGTAGCGAGGCCCCGGTGGCCTCGACGATGGAGTGTTATCACATGCCTTGCTCAAGCGCCCTTAGTGGGTCGCGGAGGCCGCAGCATCCACAGCTCGCGAAGTTATCATGAAACGGAGTTAGGAAAAGAGAGTAAGCTGCGAGTCTTTTTTTCCTTCTTGTCTCTTACAAAATACAAAAAGAAAAGTGGAGTTGTTCGCCTTACGACAACTCTGCGGCACTGCCTTCAAGGTGATTTCCTCCTCGCGTGCCGCTGGTCCTCGCTCTTTTACCTGTAGTCTGGCCGCTTACTGTTTTTGCGCCGAAAACGCAAGGTTTCACCGTGCGTAGGAGGCTATATGCATGTCATGCGCCATTATTTAAGAGTACCGGGTGATGTCTTTCAGACCAACACCTGGAGATTGGTCGTAAAGCCTAAAGCGGCTAGCATCGCCAACATCACGGTCGTGGTGCTTTCCAAGCAGCGGGTTCCTGGCCAAGACCCCATCCGAGCCGAAAGCAGTGTCGAACACAACAATCAGCAGACTCGCATCTACACCAAGGTCACCAAAGGTACCGCTGCGGTCCTGGGTGCCTTGGTCACCGCCACAGTCACCTTTGGCGAACCTGGTGGAACTGGCGAGACGCTTCAACTTCTGGACAACGGAATAGGTACGGCTGATGCAGCGTCTGAGCATACGCCGTGTTGACAGCAGCGACGCCTTAGCATGTACACTTAACTGAAGTAAAATGACTAAACACCGTTACTCAAAAAGTAACTGAGAGAGAGGAAGCTCGTGAAAAGTAATTAAGTGCAAAACATGAGGAAGATAACACAGAGAAGGGAGCGGACAACATCATTGTTGCCCGTCCCCTTCTCTGTGGCACTTTCATCGTGGTTGATACTGTTTACCAACGTTACTAGAACAACTCAGCTGGGAAACTGCCATGGAGCCTGCTCTGAAAAAGTGGCACCGATCCGTACTCGATAACCGAGCTAATGGCGACCGCAACGCCGCCATTTCTCCCGTAGCGGCCACTCGGGGAACTGCACGGCTGTTTGTATTGGTTCGGGAGTATCGCAATCGATAGCATCCGCTGTGACTGTTCAATTTTGGCTTTAATCGGCCATTTTGGCACCGAAACATATACGGTGGAAGGGGTTTTATGGATGCTGACCCGCGTCTCCCAAGCGTACGCGGCGCGAATTACTAACGAAATTGGACGAACACAGGTCGGAACGGGCTACCTGAAATCACCGGTTAGACATGGTTGTATAAAATCAATATTAATCCTGCCGCAAAACCTTTTAAACTAAATATTTTAGAAAACATCTTGCGCCTGTTATTTTGTACTAATCTTCAGTGAAAGTTTCTACGAAAAGAGTTTTTTTTTTTTCCGTTTGTTTTTACGCAAGAACATGGTATTCTAAAAGCTCAAAGGGACTACAGTAAAGAAAAAAGATTGAGCAGCCATCTTCGCACCTCGAGCCTGGAAGTTTTGGTACTCTGGGAACATTCAGGGACTCTTGCAGTAGCCATATAAGGAAACTTTTATGTTTCCACTCGTTGCTAAAAGGTGTCGCTGTTATCGTATTTAGCTCGGTCTCGGTGGACGCCAGCGGCCCAGGTTTTAACGGTGAGTTTCCTAAATGAGTGTTCTAGCAACGTTGTTGTTTACTAACATGCTCGTTTTGTACTTAAGTAAGTACCAGAGATGGCGAAATTTTTTTTCAAAAGTAGTTACATTACATTACTCATTTCTTTTCTCAGAAATAGGCGAATATAATTAAATTACGTCACAAATTACCGCAGACTAAAAGTAACTAATTACATTACAATTACTTTTGAGAAGTAATGAAATTACTTCGAACTTACTTTTCAATGGAAGTGTTAAGCATAACGTAGAGCTTCTTAAAATCTGACTACAACAGACAGCTCACCGGTTTTCGCTCTTAATTCGGCGGTTTAGTTGATCGTTCAATGGCTGATGTGATTCCGTCCTCCTGATTTTGGACAATTCATTCACTTCGATTGTTCGGGGCATAGCAGCTCGTTTTACATGAAGTCGTAACGATTGTTGTAAGGTCCGCTAAATTGCCTCTTATGTGGCTTTCGACGAACTGCCCCTTCTGTGGCTTCGCAAATTCATTTGGCACAAGGTTGAGGAAATGCCCCCCTCCAAAAAAGAAATCTTCCATTTTGCCGGGACCTCCTCTCCCCACTCCCCCTCATACAGCATTTTGTCATGGGCGCCCCCCCCCCCCCCCCCCCCCCCCCCCCAAAAACAAAAGCCTAGCTACGTGCCTGGAAATGCCTATAACCTCTTTCTTCTGACACGAACGCAGTCGAATCGTTTTCTCTAAAAAGCACTGGTCGATCCACTTCCGGACATTCTTCTCGAGAAGTATTGTTTCATAACACCAGAAGTGTGCAAATTATCGCGCGTTGTCACGCAAGGGGGCCGGATGTTTTCTTGGGAGAAGCGCTACCATACAAGGAAAGGGGTGGCGGGAGCCTCCTGAAATGTGTCCTTCGCCAACAAACCAGCGGCTCTACCTGCGGGTTTGCTTTTTTCCCCGATGTAACCTCGCAAGATTAGCCTGCTTTGCTCGCGTTTGGCCGTTTTCGACTATATTACGTTCACACCTAAGCTCACAGTGCGAGGGTAGCTACACGCCAGTCAAACCAGTCAATGGCTTCCCTTTCATGATTTGACTTCGCTCTCTGCGCGTGGGCATTTTAGTGTGTGTGTGTGGGGGGGGGGGGGGGGGGGGAGGGGGGAGGGGGGAGGGGGAGGGGGGAGGCATCATCAAGTGGCGGAATACCGACGTTACTGGAAACCTTTTCTTTATCCGCTTCGCCTTTCGACCCCGCCTTTGTGTGTGTAAATAGTCACTCCCGGGTCACTGTCACAGATTTTGATCTCAGATGGGCCTCGGAAAAAAGGAATTACGAAAGTAATGGGTGTTTCCTAAAAATTACGGCCTAAAAGTATTTCATTACATTACTAAATTACAAGCAGAGAAACGCAATTCATTACGTTACTCATTACAGCAAAAAGTAACTTAAA